TAGTTCATCAGTATATGGTATTGGAACCGACAAAAAAATCTACACAAGAGATGGAATTGAAGGAAGATGGACGGGTCCAGCACCGAACAGCTGTTGTGTGATTGCAATGACTGTTCTACACGATGGCACTATTGTAGGTGTTGGTACATCCAATCGATTGTGGACAAAGAGCAGTTTAGATGCGACTTGGCAAGGTCCTGTAGCAAATAGTGGTTCAGTGATGGATGTTACTGTAATGCCTGATGGTACAATCGTTGGTATTGGTATGAACAACCTTTTGTATACTCGTCCTGGTGTTCAGGGATTATGGTCTGGCCCTGTTGCAAATAGTGGATCCGTAAAGTCCATATCGGTGCTACCAGATGGAAGTATATTAGGTGTTGGAATGAATGGCAAATTATATAAAAGACCTGGTATACAAGGAGTATGGGCAAATGTGGATGGTAATGGTATAGTGTCTGATATATCCGTTAACAAAGATGGTGCAGTAATTGGCATTGGAACCACATGTGGTTTGTGGGAGAGATCTTCCTATACATCGTATTGGCAAGGTGAAATTTCCAATAGCAGATGTGTTACTTCTGTGTCGTTCGGCATCTAAATACGGTTAGTGTTGTTTTGTTAAGTCATTGATTGATTATTTTCAAAAGTTCACTGTTGATGTTAACAACAATACTTTTCGCATACACATCACCTCGTCAGTTATTTGTATATATATGTTGTGCACGGTAAGATATTCAGAATGGCAACTCAGGAGTTTATTTCACACTGAAATATAGCTTACATTGTGAGATATACAAGTCTACTAATTGGATAATGAATGTTCTGTGTTACATGTATATTGCAGTCGAGACTTTTTATTGTTCATAATGTCTTTTTCATTACAGAAATAAACATAATTTCCGCTAATGGTGTATTAGACACCGATTTAGATATTTCTGAAAGACAACGTTATCAGAATATATGCTAATGAATAATAATTCTTTTTAGTCACTTATTTGTATGAATTGTAATGCATGATTAATTGAAAAGGTAATAAAGTTAAGCAAATTGATCTCAGTTCATTCACATACAGTGTATATAAAACATACATAGCATAGCGTATGAGCGTGTGTGGAAAGAGAATATTGAGTAAATTCTTGCAGTGGACGCCCATATTCAATAAACACATAATAATATAGCAATGATCTGAAGTTAAGACACAGGTTTGGTGACTTAAAGATGGCAATGCCATCCGTGAACAAATGCATTAATCCGATTGGCTGACAAAGCCATGATCTGTAATATTATGTACGAGTCCTCGGGTTATTATTTTGATAATTCTATGTAGATTATATTCAATGTATATCCCCAAATATAATACATGACAATCAAAAGACCCATTTCATCACAGTGTGTCATCACATAGTGCCGATTTTTTTTCATTTTCCGCGCTGTAGTATCGATGGTTCATTGTGGCAAGCTCATGTGTATATTTGCAACATAACGTTTCAGTAGAGTTGACTGTTGCATTCTCGTGGTAATTTATACCTACAAACATTGCGGTGTTCACTTCCCTTTTATTATTGGTACAGTGAGAATTAACAGTTAGTTCAGCAGGACCAGCAAACGAAGATGACAAAAAAACATCAATGCACATGGTGTCACGACATTGGAAACCCCGAAGAGAAGTAACACATTTGTGTTTTGCAATGTTAAATGGGCGCTGTTAAATGAGTCGTATATGGCCAGTATCACATAGATGATAATGTTTTAAAAATGGTTATCACAAGTTCAGTAATGGAAATGTTGACCAATAATCATGATCAATTTTCGTAGTTCAGAATTAGTCGCACTTATTCTCTGTACATATATTGATCGTTCAACACTCAGTGCACAGTAGTGCTTTAGACATTTCAATCTAAAATTGTTACAATATGCTTGAGTAAATTTTAACTCAAATATATAACTTACAGGTATATCTTATAACAAATAGTCTTGGCTGTCATTAACAAGTTTTTCAGATTATGTATGGGTGTTGACGTCAGTTCTAAAGGTACAAAGAGTTCAACTGAAAATGTCAATTGCAGTTGGATTTTCAGAAACACACTTCGTATGTTCGTAGTCTAAAAAATGTACCATACACGTGCTTCGTTTTGAATCATGTACGCAGTACAGGTTTACTTTAATACAGTGTGGTACTCAACCTGCCCCGATTGTGCATTGCATTAAATAATTTATTTTCTACTAACCAACAACTCTATTGATTTATTGTCTTACCTACATGGGACAAATACTGAACAAGTCAGTGGACACAAAAAGGTGGCCGTAATCTATTGAGCATGCACAGATTCAAATTGATGGGCAAGTTAGCAAGATTGTCCTTAAACTTGACCGTTGTTGAAATATCGAATTCACAGGGTTGAATGCTTGAAGACGTGACGAATAAACTCGAAAACGCTCAATATACTAGCGGACTTTCATACGAGCTGACCGTAGCTTGTCATAAAACAGCACGCACGCAAAGTTGAGCAGAGTTATGGGGAAGTTAGCGATATTCTATTATGGATACCTGCAATGGGAATTGCTGGAGTTAATAATGAAAGACAACACTTAAAATAAGCACATTATGTGATAAATTATTTCACTGACGACATGTAACAACATGTACAATAATCATTCCAGCTGATGACATACACCATTCAGTTAGTACACGATGATTAATCGTGTTGAAGTAATGTGGTGGTAACTGCTGAACTATTTCCCATTCTGCATTTGTTGTATCATCCGCTGACAATTCTTTAAGATCAGATTAATATGCTGTCAAACATGGCGTTAAGTAACCGTAGCTTTTTGTAAGAAACAATTGTAAGGATGCAGTTGTCCTTGCTTTTCAATTACACATAATCAGTAATCGAGAAACACTAACATTACAACTGTACCTGTAACACTCGTAGATTACCCTGGCACAATTTAACTAGAACTTTGTGCACATTTTGAAAATATTAAACATGTATTGGAGGAATATCCGAATAAAATAATATATTCTGTGAAATAGTAGTATTATTGTTAACAAAATGTATTACTTATAAAACACTGTCCCAACAAAGGTTATCAGTGACTATACATGAAAGTGGAATATGTATGTCTAAGGGGGGAGTCAAACGAAAATTAATAATATATAATGATAACATTTTGCAATATACGATTATCATCACCACCACCATGTATGTGAATGTTCCACTTGCCCACGTCATCGAAATTACCATCGTTACATATGAAAAAACAGCCAATGTCAAAAGAGTAACCAAGGTGTTAAAATCAAGTACTGGTATGCCCCTAAAGGCATGCTTTATGGTTCACTTAGCCATCTTTTTTTATCTCGGCATCCCTCAAAAACTAATATTACAAGATTTCACGTTTTCCCCGTAAAGGACTGTTGGCTGTTCCCTCTCTGAACTCCCTCCCCGCATGTACTACCAACTCATTCTATTATGTCCTCGCTAAGGAACGCTTGTCAAGCTATAAACGGGCAGCGGTACTCATTTCACCCAATATCACTCTTCTATCGCTTTTTAACTGCATATCACTCAATTTCTGACCAGAAAATGACACATTTTTATTCCTTCTTTTGCTCGCTCGCTTATTAAAAACAATAACCGCTTGTCCGAACATTTATTACTGGTACATGAGTGGGTTGAAATGATTGTTGTAATGCTAAAGGTTATCAAAGAGTATTAACTATTATTAAATTTAGAATGACGCCAGTCAATAACACTTTGTATTGTTCGCGAACGCAACCCGAAATTGTCACGTGAACACGGTCCGTGTTCCAGAACAAGTTTATACAGCGAGACTGAGTTCCGTCTGAACAATTATTGTCGCACAGGATTTTTTCCCGGGTGAATCTAGAATCAATTTGATATTAGTATGTTATTTTAGAATGATTTTTTTTTTGGTTTCACATGATAGTTAGTTGTCTGACTTGTCATACAACATTACAAACAGAAAGTCAACAACATAGGTCAGGGTATTCCACAGACCAATCGTTTCAATGAAAGGTTTGGGGTAGTCACAGTGTGGCTTGTGGGTAAGAATAAAATATAGATTCCGATGAGGTTATTATTTAGATTTTTGACGACGGATTATTACTATTGAGATGAAATGATCACATCTTGGGGTGAATTGTTAAAGGGTGAAGAGATGTTGAAAGACATAACAAGTTGTTCATCGTCTTGTGTACAATGCAACAACAAAGGATTACTTTTCAACACAGATTTCCAGTCGAGAGAGCGGCGTTAGAACTTAGATACTGATACTGCTTGTAGGAGGAGGTGTGAAGTACTGAATTTCATAAAGCGACAGTGTCTGCAGCTCACTTGTCATTTATATCTCGCTGCTGTTCTATCTATTTATTTTATCTTTTTATTATGAGTAATTCGAAAGTTTTATAAACATCTGTTGAACTGAAACAAAATTCCCATCCTACCATCTCCCGGCACCACAGTGAATTGTGATCGTTCTCGGCATTCAATGATCTATTATTTTGAATTTCCAAAAATAAGATCTACCATTCATGATTTAGTTGTAATGGCGGAACAGCATCAGTATTATAAAGAGTAATTCAAAAGTTTTATAAAAATCTGTTGAACTGAAACAAACTTCCCATCCAACTCCCGGCACCACAGTGAATTGTTATCGTTCAGATTAAAGGGGAACCGCTCAATCCCATGAATTGCACCACGTGCTCTTGGGTAATTAACTCCCCACCTGCCCACTAAGTAAATGAATGCATATTATGCTCGCTAACTCAAACTGTGATTGACAGGCATTTTGCATATATTAGCCGCCATTTCGGCATCTAAGTTTATCCAAGAAATGTGTATGGTTTCCGGGGTCTCGGTTGGTTTGGTTGAAACATATTAGACATGCCAATCATTACAAGCCCGAATATGGCTGGTAATGTGAGGGCGCTTACGCTGTGGAAAGTCTGTTGGATATTTCGCGGTCACATGACTTTCGCGTTCACCCTTTGTTTACGCAATTCTTATTTATTTTTCAAGAATTTTTCATCGGGATCGCAACAGACTGCAAGCAAGTCTAGAACATTATATAAACAGGCGAACATTGGTGTTAATCTACTTGGCATATGGTACACATAAATACCATGGTCGTAAATATCGATACTAACGAACACAAATGCATACTATTAAGCAAGTTTAGCACACGCATAAGAGCAGAGAGTTTTGTCCTCTTGGTGGGCTATCCTTCCACACACTTGCAGCAGCGCACATACGTTTCACGTTACTTGTTTTGTGCTTTAAATTTTTAAATTTTCC